CATACATAGACACACACACACACACACACATGTATATCTTTATATATATACATACACACCCACCCACCCGCACACACACCCACTCTCACAATCACATACATACACACACTCACACACACACACACATACACACACACATACACACATATACACACACATACATACATACACATACACACACACACACACACATGCATGCACACACACACACACACACACACACACACATATATATATATATCTATGATTATCGCCATACAGGAGAGAAAGGAGGCAAATGGATCGTCTGTATGACGAGTCGCGCAAGAATTTCCTGAAAAACATCAAGACCCCATGGAAACGGGGGGACTACAGCCAGGATGTTATGATCAGGTAGGCATGGGCTTGGATGGCATGTTTCTTTTGTTGTTGAACAGGCCGAATCAATGCAGACCTACCTTCTAATGATAAATTTATGTTTGCAGTTTTGTATTGTTATCTTATTGTCGTGCGGCGAGTATAGCTTACCCAAAGCGTGGTGGAGTATGGCGCACGTCTGCCGCTGTCCGGTTACATCGTAGTCTGCATACACCCTTTTAAACCACCTGAATAAGGAAGCGCGGTCAATTTTTCTTTTCAAGGCACTGACATATCCCAATTGGATGCAGGTTAGGCAACTGATCTCATATGTGCATATGTACCATCTGTTGCGCCTGCCTTATCCTCTCTATCAGTTTACACCAAGAAGTGCTGGACTTTGTGGAATACTGCCAGCCCACCGCCTCAGAACATCACGAGCGCTTAGAAATCATCAAGAAACTGCGGAGACTGATCACAAGTATCTGGCCTAAAGCAAGGGTATGTGTGTAGACCGATGTATATCACTGTGTAGTTCGCCTACAAGGCTGAAAGGGGTACTACTTCTTAGTCGATAGTTTTGGCTTTGGGGTGCATATACACATACATTTCCGTACATTTGGTACATACCTATATACATCACTATAAAAACGAGGAGCAGGCGAATCGTGCTGAGAATATTTAGGGTGCCTACCGGACTTGGTTGGGGGAGATTCACATCTTGACACACGTTTAAGACAAATTTGACACCATTTTTATATCGTTAGGTTTGAGACAATATCCGTCCACATTCAAGTCTCACTGTGGTGTCAAGTGGGGTGGCGTGTGCGTATGATTCAGACGTTCGTGTGTTTGGTATCAGTGTAGAATGTTTTGTAGCGATGAGTTGCAAGTGCACGTGTGTGTAGTATCAGTGCAGCAACACCTAACCCCCAGAACCCAAAACAAGTGCACAATGGTTTAGTATGACGTTGCCCACTTTGATCGAGCAATCCTATTGCGTCTGGCTCGGTATCATCTCTGGGTCTGTGAACAGTGGCGCCCGCCTTTGCACTCAGTGTTAACAGTCGTACATAACTGATATTGTTTGAGGGTATAGGGGTTAGGGTTTCGGGTATAGATTCCGGTGCTGATCGCATCAGCGTACCTGAGCTCTGCCATGCCCAATCCCTGCCATTAGAACCCCACAGATGGTTCAGCATAGATATCGACAGAGTAGAATAGTTTCGTATATATAAATTCAACTAAACATATCAGCATCTGAGAGTATGTTTTTATATTAGCATCTGAGAGTATGTTTGTATATTAGCATCTGAGATTATGTTTTTAAATTAGCATCTGAGAATATGTTTTCAGTTATATATATTCCGCTGCACCTATCAGCATATGAGAGCGGGTTCATACATAAAAATTCAGCCTCATATTATCGGCGTATGCGAGATGGTTAATATATTCGCTCAACCTCACCTGGCACTTACAGTTAGAGGTCTTCGGAAGTTTCGGCACGGGACTGTACACCCCTACGAGCGATATTGACTGTGTAATATTCGGTGAGTGGAGTCCCCACGCCTCAAAGAAAGGTCAGCAGGTGTTCACCCTGGCCAACAAACTGCAGCATCAGACCCTGCTGCCCGTCAAGAACCTCCAAAAGGTGTGTATGTATCTATGTATATGTAGGTTATTTATTTATATATGTATAATGCCAGATAGTACCCTATATATCGCACGGACATACACTTTTTTTCTAATATCTGTGTTAAACTATTTAGTTGGTTGATTGTATAGTTAAGCTCACTTCTCACATTGTTCGTGTGTAGATAGATGTTCGGTCCTACTCTCTTAATCTTCTCGGTCTGTGCATTGGTAGCCCATTATCTCATAGCTAGCTCTCTTTTCTTATTTACCCTGTGTGCAATTTTATTTTACTCATCTAATATGCATACCCAAGCGCCTCCCTCCACTCGTGCGTGTCAATTCACAACATTCCTTGTCTCTTGTCTGGGCTCATTCACACCAGATTGCGCATGCACGTGTGCCGATAGTGAAGTTCGAAGACGAGCACTCGGGCGTAGCCATCGATATCTCCTTCAATCAAGACGGGGGTGTGCATACGGTGCAACTCGTCAACAACTACATACGACAGTATCCATGTCTCGCCCCAATGGTGGTTCTACTGAAACACTTTCTTGCGCAAAGGAAACTTAATGAACCTGTGAATGGCGGTGTAGGATCGTATTCGTTGACCATCATGGTGCTGAGTTTCCTGCAGATGCATCCTGGTAAGGCTTTCCGAGTGGTGGGTCTTTTGGGTTTGTCATACCGAGTTAGAAACCTGGTTTGTAGTTTTAGGTGGACTTAATCGGGTTATATTCTTGTATTGGGTAATCAAACGCAGTTTACTCATGACAGTCTTGGTTTGATGTTCTAGATGGGCATGACTTGGTTTTGCTATGTGTATTCAAATGGCGGCTGCTTGTTATGTCCCGATATGTTTACCGAATGGGCGTGCTTAGTTATTTCCTGGTATGATTTATTAGACGGATTCAAGTTTGATTATAATCTGGTACGTGTTCCCAAATGTATTTTGCTTGATTTTATCCTGGGGGTTGCTTCTGAATGGACTCATCCTGGCGGGATCCTGGTGTGTGTGTTGGAAAGCAATTTGTTTGGTTTTATCCTGATCGTGTTTCTAAGTGCACTTACCTTTCTATCATCCTGGGATGTGCTTCCAATACACTTCGTGGTTACATTTCGTTCTCCGTGTTCGTATTTGCACTTTCATTTGGTTGTATGCTGGTATATTGCCGAACGTTACGTGCGAATGTCTTACGGATGCACGAGCGCTCACTTGAGATACAACGCACAAAGTGTCCGTCCCAAATCAAACGTCTACGTAGGTATCTTGGGTTAAACTGCATAGTGTTTAGGTTTCACCTAAAGTATCCAAGTGGACTGTCAGTCATGAGTTTGTTTGTACGGCAGTTATAGTTATAGTGCAGTTAGTGCACAATCTTAAACTATACTCTAACCGTTTTGAGCATGTTTGGGGATGGGATGGGATGGGTTTTTTTTTGCATCTGCCTTGGCGGTATACACGCCAGAGTGAGCCTTAATTATGACCAAAAGTCTTGAAGTCTTGATACTGACTACAACTAATAGGACGGGACTAACTTTCGTCTCTGGTTGGCGTGCCTTACGTTTGCTGTATGCAGGAATCAAAGTGCAGGCAGATACAATAAACTACAACCTAGGCGTGTTGCTGATCGACTTCTTCGAGCTGTACGGCTTTGCATTTAACTGGAGGGAACTGGGCATCTCTGTGAGGGGCTCGGGAGCCTATTTCGCCAGAGACAAAGCACATACAACTTTCCAAGTAAAAAAGGGCCAGGTATTTAATGACAGTTTGCACAGGTCATTTTCAGGTGGATTGGTTTAGGGGATGGTTGTTTTGGGGTGTGTTGTTTCTAGAGCTTCATGAGCCAAAAACCAGGAAATGAGAAGTGAGTTTCTCACCCGTCACTTTATACAGACTGGGTTGGGTTTGTTTGTTGTGCTTTGTTTTGGTTGTAGGGGGTTTTGCGCTCAATACACCACGTTAAATCGATATCAATTACACAGGGATCACCATGTTCAGATCAATTGATAATACTAACATGTACATATCAATTAACCATACTAATATGTACATATCAATTAACCATACTAACATGTGCATATCAATTAACCATACTAACATGTGCATATCAATTAACCATGCTAACACGTACATATTAAATAACCATACTAACATGTGCATATCAATTAGCCATACTATCATGTACGTATTAATTAACCATACTAACATGTGCATATCAATTAACCATACTAACATGTGCATATCAATTAAACATACTATCATGTCACATCAATTAACCATACTAACATGTACATATCCATTCCATACTATCATGTACATATCAATTAGCCATACTATCATGTACATATTAATTAACCATACTAACATGTGCAGATCAATTAACCATACTAACATGTTTATATCAATTAACCATACTAACATGCACATATCAATTAACCATACTATCATGTACATATCAATTAACCATACTAATATGTACATATTAATTAACCATACTATAGTACATATCAATTAACCATACTAGCATGTACATATCAATTAACCATACTAACATGTACATATCAATTAGCCATACTATCACGTACATATTAAATAACCATACTAACATGTGCATATCAATTAGCCATACTATCATGTACGTATTAATTAACCATACTAACATGTGTATATCAATTAACCATACTAGCATGTACATATCATTTTGCCATACTATCATGTACATATTAATTAACCATACTGACACGTGTATATCAATTAACCATATTAACATGTACATATCAATTAACCATACTAACATGTCCATATCAATTAACCATTCTAACATGTCCATATCAATTATCCATGCTAGCAAGTACATATCAATTAACCATACTAACATGTACATATCAATTAAACATACTAACGTGTACATATCAATTAAACATACTAACAAGTACATATCAATTAACCATACTAACATGAACATATCAATTAACCATACGAACATGTACAGATCAATTAACGATACTAACATGTACATACCCGTTTTCATTAGGCTCGGGGCGGACAACCTAACATGGCCATCGAGGACCCACAGCAGGTTGGCAACAACGTTGGTGCGGCATCCAGGCGGTTCTGTGACGTACAGGTTGCTTTCCAACAGGCGCACAGGACACTGAACGCCTATATAATGAATGTAAGTTTGAAGTGTCATCGCTTCTTCTTCGTTTTCTTAAAGCACTGTAGTCTCTGAGCGGACAGAGTGCCTATAGAAGGAGTGCACGTTTGAAGCACGAGCATTGCTGCGGCCGTTTGGGGCGGTTAACGCATTGAGTGAGGTACACTGTTTGTGTGACACGTATGGACAATGGTCTGCAATAATGATCAAATGCGACCTGCTAGATGGTCATTCCGTTCAATTTTGCTGTAGACGCGTACCTATATGCCCATAGGAAAACGCTCGCATGCACTTTCGTTAGATTGTTGAAGGTGTAGCTACATATCAAGCCTACTGTATATGTGTATTGACGTATCCGTATGCATGTATGAGAGATTCATAGGCCCTGATCACTGCCTATATTGGGTGTATTCCATATGGTGAATATATGGATATCGAGGATCTGTAGTCTCTCTAAGAAGTGGATGCCGTGAATTGAATGTACACGACTATTTTAGTAGGTTAAGGTCTTCAGCCTTTGCTATACCGTGCAAAAAATGCGCAGTTCTCAGCCGCGCTATCTCACATATATATTATCAAACCACGCGCATATATATATATATATGTATATATTCAAACCACACATGTATATTTTCAAACCACACCTATGTAATATTAAACCACACGCATAACCACATATATACTATTTTATAGGCCAATTTTACCTCATTATAGAGAATGTACACGCGCATGTCCTAAGTGTATCTTGCAGAAAAACACGCCGTTCCCAAGCGCACTATTACACGCATATAAATATCCACATGAATAAATATCCGTATAAGCTAGCCTTGCCTCACACTAGAGAATACGCGGGTACTCATGAGCCCTTGGTCTACCTACACACATATAATATCAAACCATCCACATGAATAAGTATCCTTATTAGCTAACCTTGCCTCACAATAGAGGATATACGGGTACTCATTTGCCCTTGGTCTACCTACACACATATAATATCAAACCATCCACATGAATAAGTATCCTTATAAGCTAACCTTGCCTGACATTAGAGAATACACGGATACTCTTATGGCCCTGGTCTACCCTACAGGAGAACGCACCATTCTCAACGGCCCTGTCATCGGTGATTGAGGTGGATGAAAAGTTCAAGGCACTTCGCGACCGTGCCACCCACCGCAACAAACATATAGCTCATAGTTTCAGAGGCTCGCCAGCGGACGCTTCACCGTTCATACAAGTGTGGAGACAACAATCACAACAGGTTAGTGTTATATATAT